TATATATATATATATACATATACTCATCATTAAAAATATATATTCTCTCAAACTTACTTTGCCCTCAAACCCAGCCTCTTCTTTCTCTATTTCATAAGCTGTCTTTTTTATTTTTTAATAGACTTCTGGGTCTTTACTATCTCACTTCCTAATCACCACAAAGTTTCACAAGTTTTCACTTCTAATCACAGATTACAGGGACAGAGTTTTCACAAATGGCTTCCTAATTAATCCATTTAGCAACCTCATTCCCATCTTCATTTTACTTGATGTTTCTGGTGTGTGGTGCTTGTTAACCACTCTCATCATGAAACTTTATTTTGGTTCTCACAAGTGACTTCCTTCCTGGTTCTCCTACTCCCTGACTGACTCCTCCTCAGTCTCCTGCACTGGGGCCTGTCACTAGGTTTTTGGTTTTTTTATAATTTGTTTATTAAAATCCTACCTTATTAAAAAAAAACTGTGATGAATTACAGACATGCATAAAATACAATAAGTTTTTATTTTTAAAGACTTGAATAACAATGGAGAAAAGATAAAACAAAAATAAGTCAGATGACAGAGTAATGAAAATGCTTTGGAACTAGGTAGAGGTGGTAGTTACACAACATTGTGAATTTATGAATTTACAATTACTGAATAGTTAATTTTAAAGTGGTGAATTTTATGTCACGTTTCACCTAAATATGTCTTTTTAAAAATCAGATGACTATATAGGGAAACTTGTGTACAAAATAAACTTGATAAAGCTCTTTCAACTTGTTTTAGGTGGTTGATACATTTGGCTGGGAGCTTCTTAGCAGACTGTGCAATGAGGATAACACAAGTCATATAATTCCGTGTCTGCATGCTTTCAGCATGGTAATTGCTTAGGAGAAAGAATTTCTCCTAAGAATCCTCATAAGGAAGAGAGTCCTGTCTGCCATTAACCTCCCTCTGTATAAAATCAGTGTCAGGTGTTTCCTTTAAGGCCCTCACTAGAGATGTGTAATGAATGCCAGAGCCCAATTTACAGCACTTCTCTGAGGGGCTGGGTTCTGACAGTCCACCTTAATTCCAGGATTGATTTTAGAGTATCTAGAGGAATAAATGTGCTTCATAACCTTCAGTCAATGCTCTATAAATAGATATTAGATCTCATAACTGAGTTTTTGATTAGTATTGACCAAGAAGCACTATATTTGCTGACATGAGCCTAGAGTGCAAATATTCTGTGGCCAATTAAAGGCAGATCCATATGCTTTCATAATCAGCCCAAGTGGGGATAGAAATGACTTATCCTAATGAAAGATGAAGTCCCTAACTAGGAAAAATTCTTGATAAAAAGGCATTTCAGTTACATACATGCAAATGGGAGGGGGAAGAACACTCTAGACAAGACTGAGTGTTCCTCCCTCATGGAAACAGTTCTGGGTCTCACCAAGGCACAGGTAAAGGACAACTAAGACTCCAAAGTTCTGCACCATGGAATTACTGAGGTAATTTTAGCCTGGAAGATTTTTAAGGTTAGTGTCACCAAACGCCCACGAAGCCATTAAAATCTTAGTAAAGTGCTCATAGAACTCTCTCGGCTTAAGCAGTTTAATGTAGTAGCTAATCCTCCTGAGATAAAGTACTGATAAAATATGCCCCTAGAACACTAAATGAATTGGTATCTTGTATAGAATTCTGAGGTCTTCTATTATCAATATTTTAGGGCAGTTTATCCCAACCCATTCTTTCTTGCAGAGGCAGTTACCTGTTAAAATTACTCCTGTTTCATATAAATAAAAGTCATAAACATATAGGAGAAACTCAACATTCTTCCTCCACATACATCCAATTTGTTCAACAATAATATTAAACCATTAGGATAGAAATTTCTGTATAGTTTGTTTAGGTGTGTGTAGGCAGCAATACATTTTTCTTTTTGCCTATTAGAACGATCATCTCATCTATCAAAAGAGAAGCTCTTTAGTGTTCTTCCAAATTACAGACTTTTTCACTTGCTAGACATTCCATTTGAAATGTCAGCCTTAATAAATTGCAACATTTTAAGTGGTGAAGAAGCAAACTTTAGGCAGAACTATCCCGCTGTCAAACATTTTGTTTTTTATTCTCTTGTATTAGTTTGGGTTCTCCAGAGAAACAGGACCAATGGGAGCGCTTATACATGTATAAAGAGGTTTCATCTAAGGAATTGACTCACGTGGTTAGGGAGGCTGAGACGTTCCAAGATCTGCAGTCAGCAAGCTGGAGACTCTGCAGAGCCGATGGTAGAAGTCTCAGTCCAAGTTCTGGGCCAAAGGCAGGAGAAGGTCATGTCCCAGCTCAGACAGCCAGGCAAAGCATGGATTCTCCCTTACTCACCTGTTCTCGTCCTATTCCAGTCTCCAGAGGACTGTATGAGGTCCACCACTTTGGGGAGGGCAATCTGCTTTACTAATCTACTGATTCAAATGTTAATCTCATCCAGAAACACCCTCACAGACACACAAAAATAATGTTTAACCAAATATCTGGGCACCCATGGCACAGTCAAGTTAGCCATCACGCCCGGCCGGTGTGGCTCAGTGGTTGAGCGTCAATCTACGAACCAGGAGGTCACAGTGCTCTTCAAATTTTAAGTTGGGGATATTCAGTGCTCTGCCCCATATTTTGGCTCCATATTGAACGATAGTCCTCCACTTCCCTGCTGCACCTACTGCTAAACCCTCACTCTCTCAGAATTCCAAGCTTTTCCCCATTCCCTCTCCAAGGTCCGATCCAGTTTCTTATGGAGAGTAGTGATCTATTTAATCTCCTTTGAACATCTTACTGAACAGTGACCACATGTTTCTGAGATAAATGCTGCCGTTTCTGCAAAAGCAAAAGTAGGTAGAAGCATCTGTCGTTAGAAATTGTAGCTTTCCCTTCCTCCCAGGCTCACAGTCCTTTATAAGAACACACTCACACACATACTTAGATGATACTATGTTTTCAGTAGCTCTGGCAACATCTCACCTTAATGCCA